GTGGGCACTGGAAACCACAGAGAAGTGAAAAGTCCCGGAGCAGGAAGCTGTCAGAGGTGACTCCGGGCTTCAGCACTGTCTGGATGTCAGTGCCTTTAAGAGGATCAGTGATCTGTGAGGGGAGCTGGCTCTAGCAGGCAGATTGAAGGTGTCAGGTTTAGACCCGCTGAGTTCCCAGGGGCTCCCAGGAGGAGACTGTGTTCTGTATCCTCCCACACTCCCCCCAGGAGCCACCTGCCCAGGGCAGTGTGCCAACCAGTAACAGACTTGGTCCATATATCTTGCTTTTGCAAGAGTCTCTGGAAGGTAGAAAAATGAGAGCACAGAGCTGTGGAACCTATTTTATTAGGAAGCTGGGAGGGATTGCGGTCCCAGGCGTGGCTGTGCAGACAAAGTGAGGCGCATACCCCCTCTGAAGCCCAAGCGCCCACCCCCCTGGGTCCTCTGCTATGCACCAGAGCAGAACAAGGTCATTAACAAGGCCACTCCGGGTTCTTCCTCGCTGCCTCCCCTCTGCCTTGGATCATCGCAGGGAAGAAGGGGCCCTCTTCCCTCTAAGACCGCCTCTCCCTGTGACCTGCCCCTGTGGCTCTGGTCGTTCTTGTCAGCTCCTCTCCCGTCTGGTTCTTCAGTTTCACCCTCCCTACTGTAGTCTCCTCTGTCTGAAAGGATGGTTTATTGTATCAGCTTTAAAAATAACCCCAAACCAAGCCTTCCCAACCATTGCTACCCCTTGAATTAGTTTTCTTTCTTTCCCCATCCCTTCAATTAAAAAAAAAAAAAATAGTAAGCATGTTAGTTCATTGTATGCACTCATCTTACAATTGGAAGTTTGAAACTTTTGACCACTTCAGTCATCTTAACCACCCATTCCAACCCTCTGTGTCTGCCAGCTACCAGTCTGTTCTCTGTGTGTGAGTTCAGGTTTGTTTAAGATTCCACATATTAGTGACAACATACACTTTGTCTTTTGCTGTCTGATTTATTTCATTTAGCTTAATTCCCTTAATGTGCATCCACATTGCTGTAGATGGCAGGACTCCTTCATTTTTATGACTGAATAATCACTGTGTAAGTATGCCACATTTTCTTTATCCATTCACTGTCAGCGGACACTTAGCTCGTTTCCATGTCTTAACTATTGTGAATCATGCTGCAATGAATATGGGGGGTGCAAATATCTTATTGTGATAGTGATTTCATTTCCTTTGGGTAAATTCTCAGAAGTGGAATTACTGGGTCATATAGTAGTTGTATGTTTAACTTTTTAAAGAACCTCCATACTGTTTTCAATAGTGGCCACACCGATTTACATTCCCACTAACAAGGCACAAGTGTTCTTGTGTCTATACATCCTCACAAACATGATTTCTTTTTGATAATAGCCTTTCTAACAGGTGTGAAGTGATAAACTCGTGGATTTGATTTGCATTTGCCTGATGACTAATTATGTTGAGCATCTTTTCATGTATGTGTTGGCCATCTGTGTGTCATCTTTGGAAAAATGTTCAGATCCTTTGCCCATTTTTTAATGGTATTGTTTGGCTTTTTGCTATTGAGTTGTATGTGTTCTTTATATTTTTTGCATGTTAACCCCTTATCAGATATACAAATATTTTTTCTACTCAGTAGACTTGTTTTTCATGTTGATGATTTTCTTAGCTGTGCAGAAACCTTTTAGTTTGATAGAGTTCCCCACTTGTTTGTTTTCTGCTCTTTTTTACATTTTTTGCCTTTGTTGTCAAATCAAAAAATTCATCAGTGACCTATGTCAAGAAGTTGACTGTCCATGTTTTGCTCTAGGAGTTTTATAGATTCAGGTTTTACATTCAAGTATTTAATCCATTTTGAGTTGATTTTTGCTTATGGTGTGAGATAGTTGTCTGGTTTCATTATTTTGCATGTGGCTGTACATTTTCCCCCACACCATCCACTTAAGACACTGTTCTTTCCCTATTGTATTGTCTTGGCTCCTATATCATAAATTAACCATATATGTATATGTTTATTTCTGGGGTCTCTTTTCTGTTTCATTGTGAAGTGAGGTGAAAGTCTCTCAATCATGTCTGACTCTTTGTGACCCCATGGACTGTATAGACCGTGAAATTCTCTAGGTCAGAATACTGGAGTGGGTAGCCTTTCCCTTCTCCAGAGCATCTTCCCGACCCAGGAATTGAACCAGGGTCTCCTGCATTGCAGGTGGATTCTTTACCAACTGAACTATCAGGGACTGTGTGTCTATTTTAGGCCAATTCTATACTGTTTTGATTGTTAGCACTTTATAATATAGTTTGAAATCAGGGAGTATGAATGGGAGTATGAATGCTTCCCAATGTGAGGAAAAAGCTTTGTTCTTTTTCCTTCAAGATTGCTTTAGGTATTCTGAATCTTCTGTGGTTCCATATAGGATTGGGAGTGTTCATTTCTCTTTTTTAAAATGCCTTTGGAATTATGACAGGGATTGAACTGAATCTGTAGATTACTTTGTAGTATGGATATTTTTGCAATATTCTTCCTATTAATTTGTATCTTTAGTTCCTTGAATTCCTACAATTCCCACAATTGAAGCAATTGTAAATGGGATAGTTACTAGTGCATAGAAACACAACTAATTTTTGTATATTGATTTTATATCCTGCACCTTTACTGAATGTATTGATTAGTCCTAACAATTTCTGAGAGAACTCTTTAGGTTCTTCTATGTATAATGTCATGTCACCTGCAAATAGAGACAGTTCTACTTCTCTTGTTCTGATTTGGATGCTTTTATTTCTTTTTCTTACCTAATTGCTCTGGCGAGGACTTTCAGGACTGTGGTGAGTTTACAAGCAGCATGAGTGGGCTTTCTTGTCTTGTTCCTTATCTTAGAAGCAAAGCTTCCAGTTTTTCACCATTGAGTATGATGTTAGCTATTGGCTCATTTGCCAAATGCGTAAGAACCACTAAGCTAGTTTCCAGATTTATTTCAGAGGAAATTCTTCCATATGTAACTGTAGATATGCAGTGTTCCTTGAAAGGAAGTGAATTCAGGAGACTTCTGTGTTGACATCTTGAGTCAAAAGCCTCTTTCCTCTTGTAAACTTTTAAGAGAATCTTCATTCTATCCTTCCATTTCCTCACCACAGTCTCATTCTATTTTTATAGCAACCTTTGGTATCCCTGAGTGTTAAGCATGACTCGTAATTAGTACAGAAATCTGGAAAAGACAGAAAATATAGAAAAGAAAGCAGAGAATCACTTCTAAGCTCACAATGTAGATATAACTACTGACTACTAGTGTCCTAGTGGGTTTCCTTTCCAATCTTTATCTGTGAGACTAGATGCCTAAATGGTAGGTAAGTAAATAGATCAATAGATACCTGTTTATATTTTACAAAGCTTAAATCATACTAAATATCTTATATTATGAACTTTGAATTAAACATGATATTGTAATCCTAGGTGATTAAATATTCTTTGTCATCATAATAGTGGTAATGACTAATAGTTCATCTTTGAGATCCAATTTTGGATGTTGAGGGGGTGGTTCTATATATATATAGAAGAATCCACCTTCTCTATATATAGAAGATATATATTCTGTATCTTATAGAATATCTATCTCTAAGATAGACATTCTTATGCCTGCATCTTTGTCTGTAGCCATGCTTAGAAATGAAATCCTGAGCCAAAGGCTATGAATATTTTTAAAGTTCTCAATACATGGTTACACAAATTTATACTTGAGCTGTGTTTGAAAGTACATGTTACCAGCACTGGGTACCATCCTTCATTCACTTCCTAATGCCTTTTAATCGAGCCTTTTCTTACAACTATGTCAAATTTGCTCTTCAAGTTCTGAGTTTCTGATTCTTGAATCCAGAGTTCCCCTTTTGATGCCTTTCTCTGTTCTCTCCCTCTCCATCTCTTTCTCCTTTCTTCTCTCCCTCCCTCCCCCTTCCTTTCCCTCCTTCTCTTTCTCTCTCCCTCCATCCCTCTCTTTCTCCTGCTGTGTGTGGGTGTGACTGCTATGTTTGATTGCCTCATCTCCCCTCAGAACCCTCTTCTTCCTCAGCATCTTTCAGTCTCTACTGCTCCAGTTCGCCTTGATCCCCCTGGTACCTTACTGAATACAGGAAATGTTTATGAGGAAGAAGAGGCAGATACTGTCCTCAGAGAAGTCAGGCCCATCTTAAATAAACATATCGTTTAGTTGCTCAGTCATGTCTGCTGCTTTGCGACCCCACGGACCGTAGCCCGCCAGACTCCTGTGCCCATGGGATTCTCCAGGCAAGAATACTGGAGTGGGTTGACATTTCCTTCTCCAGGGGATCTTCCCCACCCAGGGATCGAACCTGCATCTCCTGTTTGGCAGGCAGATTCTTTACCACTGAGCCACCTGGGAAGCCCTAAACACAAATGGAAAATAAACATATGAAATCTTAAAAACCTAAAGGATGTTAAAGTCACAGAGAGTGTGGTAACCTAAGTCAAATAGGCAGACTCATTGGAACAGTGAAAGTGAAAGTTGCTCAGTTGTGTCCGACTCTTTGTGACCCCATGAACTACACAGTTCCAGGCCAGAATACTGGAGTGAGTATAGCCTTTCCCTTCTCCAGGGGATCATCCCAGCCCAGGGATCAAACCAGGCCTCCTGCATTGCAGTCAGAGTCTTTACCAGCTGAGCCACAAGGGAAGTGCAAGAATACTGGAGTGGGTAGCCTGTCCCTTCTCCGGCAGATCTTCCTGGCCCAGGAATCGAACTGGGGTCTCCTGCACTGCAGGTGGATTCTTTCCCAACTGAGCTACCAAGGGAAGGAGGCTTTATTGAAGGGAGCATATGGCTGGTGAAGAGGAGGGGAGAGGACAGCCCACACTGAGATAGGAGGTATGACAGGCAGGTACCGTCCTGGTAGCACCAGGTGGAACCCCTGCAGGGTCGTGCCCTGGTCGTGCTGACCGACCTGCTCCAGCCTGGATCTCTTGTCCCTTCTTACCATTTAATCCCACTGCTTCTGCAGGGAAGGTGGACAGCGGAGCCTGGCAAAGGGCTAGCAACTCAGCCACAGTGGAGCACAGTGAACTCAGAGGCCAGGACTTAGATAGTGTGTCCTGTGTGAACTGTGGGGACAGAGGCACTCCAAGCCACAAAAAATGCTGTGAGTTTTTTATATTATTATGGGTTTTTATATTGTTATTGAAATTCCTAATTCCTAGGTCAAGCACCATAAACTGGAGCATCTGTGCCGTATGAGTCATGGCCATGCTTTCCTGCCTCCCACCCAGCCCCCAGGTAGCTCTGCTTCAGGCTCAGGACAAAGTCTCACCTTTCTCAGTTCAGTTTTCAACCAGTTGACATGAAACTAGTAAAACCATGTGTAGCATTCCTGGAAATTCTGCCCCAATCTACATGCAGTGTGCTCCTGTGAAAACATCAGGACCAAGGATGGTGATGCTGACTGACCACATAGTTGGGGTGAGAAGCCAAGCTCGCCTCTCTTTCCTTTCTTCCCATTACCCACAGCATTTTTTTTACACCAGGGGGATGCACCACTTAGAAAATCATAGGACTTTAAAATCTTAATGGAAAGAAAAATTTCAGCCTGATCCCAATTAAAGACCTTGGTTAATGGAATGGTAAGCCTTCCCAAACCACCCCAGGCCTGTGGAAAGAGTGGCAAATCTGGCATTTGCAGAGTTAACATTGTGCAGAGTCTAAGGCTCAAAACTGCTGAACTGGAGTCAGTCACTTACCGAGCACCTCAGTATGACTTTATCTTTAAAAAAAAAAAAAAAAAAAGGTTGGTTTTATGGGAAGATTGGGAGAATTGCGAAGGTTGCAGAATATTTCTTGCAAATATTGGAGTTATATGTACATTCCCTGGAGGCTCAGACTGTAAAGAATCTGCCTGCAATGCGGGAGGCCTGGGTTCAATCTCTGGGTTGGGAAGATGTGCTAGAGGAGGGAATGGCTACCCACTCCAGTATTCTGGCCTGGAGAATCCCATGGACAGAGGAGCCTGACAGGCTATAGACCATGGAATCGCAGAGAGTTAGACATGACTTAGCAACTGAACAACGAACAACAAATATACGTTCTTGTAGGCTATTTATATTTTATTCAGTTGGTCAAATTATCTGAGTGCCTACAATGTGCCAGGCATTGTTCTAGATGCCAGGGCTGTGCTGTGATTAAGACAGATAAGGTTCCTGCCCTCACTCATATCTATTTGGAAGTGAAGGAGAATAAACAAGGAGACAGATAATCTTAGCTTGTTATGTGCAGAAAGTAAAACTAAGCTAGAGGATGATTAGGGCCAGCCAGGGTCTCTGCGGAGGCAGCGTCTGGGCTAAGCCCTGGGGAGTGAGGCACCAGCAAAGCCGCAGAGCAGCCTGATCTCTCTTCGCTACAACCTGCTCATCTCATGGGCTGAGGGCACCGGTGACAGGCCGGTACTAGGGTTTCCGTGTTTGTAAATAAGGAGCTTGGTTACGCCGCTTCCAGCAGCACTTTGGGGCCATAAGCCCGTTGGTAGAGGCAGCCTCAGATCCTCTACAGAGGATACTGGTGAGGTTCTAAGATCCCTGTTCCTGGCAAATAATTCTTAGGTAGATTAAAGTTTGAGGGATACAGTATGGTGGGTCCTGAAAATTTTAAACATTGTATTATCATATGTTTCAGCAATTCCATCTCTCAGTATATATTAATAGCTCAAGAAATTGAAAGTAGAGGCTCAAACAGATATTTATAGAACACTGTTCATAGGGGGGTTACTCACATTAACCAAAAGATGGAAACAGCCCAAATGCCCACAACATACAAATAGATATACACAGTGGAGTATGCGCCCATCCAATGGAGTGTTATTCAGCCTTAGAGAAAAAAGTCCTGACACATGCTGCAGCACAGATGGACCTTGAGAACATTACACTAAATGAACTAGACACAGGAGAATAAATACAGCATGGTCTTATTTATATGAGGTATCTAAATTAGGCAAATTCAGAGAGACAAGGTAGAATGGAGGGGAGTGGAATATGGAGTTATTAAGTACAAGAGTTTCTGTTTGGGGTGAGAAAGTTCTGGAAATAGGTAATGGTGATGGTTGCATAACAATATTAATATATTTACTGCCACAGAGCTGTGCACTTTAACACAGTTGAAATGGTAAGTTTTGTGTTGCATATGTTTTATCACATTAAAAAAAGAGCCCATGGGAATGGGAAGGGAGTTTGGGGAAGAATGGATACATGTGTGTAAGGCTGAGTCCACCTGAAATTGTCACAACATTGTGAGTCAGGTATGCATGCTAAGTCACTTCAGTCATGTTCAACTCTCTGCAGCTCTATGGACTATAGCCCGCGAGGCTCCTCTGTCCATGGGATTCTCCAGGCAAGAATAGTGGAGGGGGTTGCCATGCCCTCCTCCAGGGGAATCTTCCCAACCCAGGGATCGAACCCAGGTCTCATTATGTTTCTTGCATTGGCAGGCAGGTTCTTTACCACTAGCGCCATTTGGGAAGCTATACTCCAATACAAAATAAAAAGTTTAAACTGAAGTGGATCGGAATGCAAAGACACTTTCAAAACAGTGCAGGATTAGAATCTAATTAAACTTTTAAAACATTTTTTTTAATCTCAAGAAAAATAAAAAAGTGCACAGGAAGCTGAGAAGAGGTTGATCAGCCCCTTGCTCTTAGATGTTATTTAAAACAAACCTGAGGGTTGTGGAGGCAGAGGGGGATCACGCCAGGTCTGGGGAGGCTGGCGTGCAGAGGTTGCCTTTAATTCCACGCCCCTGGCACCTCCAGGACAGACCTCGAAGCCCCCAGCGGAGTAGGAAAGGCCTGGAGCCCTCAACTCGGGCAGGGGCTGCAGGAGGGAGATATCCCTCAGGCGATCCACTGGCAGGCCAGCCCTGCAGACTGGGAAGAGACTCACTTGCCCACCTGCTGCCTCTGTTAGCAGTCCCCATGTGGATGGTGTGGCTCTCAGGTAGAGGGGGCAGCCCTGAACCCCCCGGGTCTCAGCGTGGTCCCCTGGGAATGTGTGATAAATGCAGATTCTCAGGCCCCGCCCTGGACCTGTTGATCGGAAGCACCAGCTGTAGGGCGCAGCGGTGTGTTTTCACAGGTCATCCCATGGGAGATTCTGATGTTGGAGAACCACTGTTATCAGCCGTTGTGGAAAGAACTGGATGCTCTTCTGGGCGGTAACTCGGTGCACTTAGTGAGCGCCTCCTGAATGCAGAGCCCCAGAATGTGTGCAGCAGGGGGACAGAAAGCAGGCCATCTCGGGTGCACCAGCCCTGGGTGATGCTAGGTCCCCCAAGGACACCAGAGGGCGTGAGTGGCTGTGAGTCTGCCTCATACCCCGCCACCGCCACGCCATGTAGGCTCGTCCGGCAAGGTGTGCCAGGGCCCCTTCATCACAGGCGCCACGCTGCTGCATGTCAGCACCGTGGTCTCAACCCGGCCGCCTGTCTACATAAACCAGACGTGTCTCCCCCAACTTAGTGTCCTAGCCGGCCGTGTGCAGGCTCACCATACCCCTTTAGGGTAGAGTCCTTCAGAGCATCTTGGCCAGATCCCGTACCTTTCAGATGACTGCAGATTTTAAAGTGCATTCCAGCCCGCTTAGAGACTTCTGGTCTTGTGGGCATTTCCCAGCTCACCTTGTCCTCGTCCCAGGATGCCAGGACCTGCGGTGGGAAGTTAGGAATAGCAGCACGATCCTCCCTTGAGCGGCCTCCTTCCCCGTTCTTCTCAGGAACTGGGGGGCATGAAGGGAGGCGGACTGCTCTGCCCTGGGGCCCAGCACTATTTTTCTGATGCCCTCCGTGCGGCAGACATCCCATCAAAGTATGTGAAGACCCTGGGTTCTTGAAGCATCTGTAGGGCCTCCTCCGGGCTCAGTTCCCTGGTGTGCCGGGGCCTGCTCAGCCTAACATCATTCCCTCTTCTATTCAGCCTCTACCATCAGGAGACCCCAGTTTGCTTGTTGTCAGAGTGTTTTGCATGGGAATGGATTTTTGTTAGGGTATCAGCAAGATGGTTGCTGTCAGCCCTCCATCACTGTGTCTCCTTGACCAACGGAAACCACTATATCCTTGCCTTCGCAATTGGAGGGCGGTACTGGGTGCCCCAGTGCCACCCTCTCTCTGCTCTGCGTGGAGCCACAAGGATGGACAGCAAGTCCACTGCCTGGGCAGTGCCCCAGATGATGGATGGCCCTCAGGATGGGCCACTTAGTTTGCAGGACCCAGTGCAAAACTACTGAAACGTTAAGCATTCCAACACGGCCAGAGCAGAGCATTAAANGGGAGGACACAGTGTGGCTGGCCTGGTTCCAGCTGTCCCGACCCTAGACCTATTCTTGTCCAGGGTCCCCTGCAGGCCCAAGACTTCTGCAATGAGTTCTCCTGTCTGCTTAAGGAAGTCAGGGTTCAATTTCTGTCACTTGCCCTAAAAATCCCAGTCTTCCCCACTGCTCAGTAAGAGTCTGAACTGCTTGGCTCCAATTTCCCCGGAACTGCAGGAAATAAAATGAGGGACCCAGAAAACAGGATCTGAGTGGGAAGGAGGGTGGTTTCAGGTCATGTGTGATGGGAACTTGTCAGGTTCTATGGGAATTCAGGACTTCACATACCATCACCTATCGGCACCTCAAACTACTTCACCTGTGAAATGGAGGCATTCAGCCCAGTTTGGTAGTTTTTATTTTTTATTTAATTAATTTTCGGCTCTGCTGGGTCTTCACTGCTGCACGGGCTCCTCTCTAGCTGCAGCGAGCAGGAGGCTACTCTCCAGTAGCTGTGCTTGAGCTTCTCGTTGCGGAACTTCTCTTGTTGGGGAGCATGGGTTCTAGGGTGCACCGGCTTCAGTAGTTGCAGCACATGGGCTCAGGATGGCGCTTCCCGGGCTCTAGAGCACAGGCTCAGTAGTTGTGGCCCACGGGCTTATTTGCCTCATGACATATGGGATCCTCCCTGACCAGGGTTCCAACCCGTGTCTCCTGCATTGGCAAGCAGATTCTTTGCCACCGAGTCCCCAGGGAAGTCCTGGTAGTTGACTTTTAGCTAAATGGTAGGCTCTGTGCTGACTCGA